TTCATAGCTTCGTCAGGTCAGGCACCACCACCAAGCAGGTTCCTCTGGTCTTCGTGGTCATGTCTGCCTGGAAGATGGTTGATTATTGGTTTAGCAGTATATTAATCAACATACTAAAATGCAACTATGTAAATCGTATTAATAATATTAACATAAACATCGATAGATGCTATATAAAAATCATAAAATCCATTGGTTTGATTATCAGCATAATAACATAATAATGTTACATCATAAGTATTAGTATTACTAACTTGCAAAAAAACCTTATTAACTAACACAAACGTAATAAAATCCACTGTTTTCCCACAAGAAATCATGGATACAGTAGCAATAGATTACAATAGGGAGATTATTGTTAACCACACACACATAGCATACGCACAGCTCTGTGCCTATTTGGCGTTCCATACAAATATATTACGGCCGAACAAGTGTACGACCGAACCGGACGTAATTCCTTTTAACGCTTACGGCTCCATCCGTCATCTCCAATGGCGAATTGGCGATCGAGCTTAATGCTGTTGCCAGAATTCAAACTTTTGGTTTTGCCAGAATTAGTAAATCAAAATGAAGCTTCAGATATTCAGAACTTATTGTAGAGCGCAAGTCTCCACTACTGTGCAACAGTATGACAATTTCGATTGCTTGTGAAAGAAGGGAAAAGGAAGGCAGCAGAACATGCATACATTATTAAAGAATGTATAAATAAATATATGCAGGTCCTGGTCCTAAGTGCAATGGCCTAACTGTAATAATGGCCATGATTGACAAATGATTGATTGATTGTAATAATTTTTGGGTCTAAATATAATACAGGTCCTATGCATTTTAGGGTCCAAAAGGTTCTAAGTGTAATGATTTTTGTGTTTAAATGTAATAAAAGTCCTATGTGTAATAAGTTTTGGGTGTGAATGTAATAAATGGTCTAAGTGTAGTAATTCTTGGGTCTAAATGTAATAAATGTCCTATGTGTAATAATTTTTGGGTCTAAATGTAATAAAGGTCCTATGTGTAATCATTTTTTGGTCTAAATGTAATAAAGGTTCTAAGTGTAATTTTTGGGTCAAATGTAATAAAGATGCTATGTGTGATAATTAGGCCTATTGTTTGCTCCATTGCGGTTATACTAATTACCATCAACAGGGCCTAGAGCGGCCACGGGCCCCGGGATATTTTTGCTGCCCAGGCCCATTGATTGGGGGTCTGGGGCCGCCCAGGGCCTCAGTGGGATCGAGGGGCAGATCCAGGGCTGGCGCCAGGATTTGTCAGAAGGGGGGGGGGTGATGGCCGAGGTCCCCGACGAGGGGGGCCGATGCCCCGACGAGGGGTTAGATTTCCCCGACGAAAGCAAAGTGGGCGTGGTTGAGCTTCGATTAAAAGTTTTTGAAAGTGGTCCTGGGGGCGAAGCTCTCGAATATTTTGACAATTTAGGAGTTTCAAAGGCTTATTTAATCGATTTTATAGTCTACTAATATGTAGAAAATACATATAATTTTTTTTCTCCCCGACGAATAGTGCTTTTTCTCACCGACGGGGGGGGGGGCAGCTCTCCCCGACGGAGGGCGCTGGCCCCCGCACAGTAGGTAAAAAGACAATAGAAGATAGAAGTGTTACAGTACTAAAGTGCATTTAGCGCCCATTCATTATATCTGTTTACATAGATATTAATTTGAAAATGTAATTATTATTATAAAGTTTTTATTTGTAACTCAGTCCACAAGTCAAGTGGAGTTGAATAGCTGGAATGGAGTTGAATAGCTTAGTGGTTTGTTGCTTGACTTTAATCCTAGGGTCCTGGGTTCAATTCCTGTCATAGTAGGACTTTTTCTCACAACTAAACACTCCAACTTTCTAGGCCTCAATAAGAGACTTACTGTAGTTTATGAAGCATTGTTCCATCTTATAAGTTTGGAGTGTACTTGCTGTTGGATGTGAAGAAATGTAAAATTAATCTTTATTTTATTTAAGTATATGTTAAAGAATAACATTGTTCAAATGTTTGCATGGATGACAAAGTGTTAGAATGGTTGCGGTACACCACATATAGATAGTTTTAGAAGAATAGGCCTAGTTGTTTTTTTGTTTTTTTTAATATCTCTAAATTTTTGATTGAGTTGCTTCAAATTTTATAGTCTTTTATCTACTTTTGTATAACTGCTGTTGTGTGAAGCAGTGTGCAGATAGCTTTATAATTTCTTCTAGAATTAAATGGAAATGGTAATTTTGGAACATTTTTAGATGATTTGTCCTGTAATTGTGGATTGGTGTGGCATTCAAACCTTACTAAAACAAACTTAAAAATTTTAAATATACAGTAATTGTTAAGAAAGGCTTTGAAATAACGCTGCTGGAAATACAATTAATGATGATAACCGCCCACTTCATAATTAGGCCTACATCACATTTAGCAAATCTGGTAGAATTGTTACTAATTAACAAAAACAAATAGACTCATTCATTCCTAGTGCAATTAAAATGTTAATCGATAAATTTGTTAGATAATTTGATTTTTTTTTTTTTGCTCTATTTATTTTTTCATATTATTCAGTGTATCTTAGTATTAATTTTTTTTAAATTCATTTTACTGGCAAAGCAAATTTCATATTGTATTCATAATGACCAATAATGAATTAGAACTTGAATTTGTACCGTATGGCACATTGAATATTAATGAAGTTTTCTGTTATTTATTACCAAGCTAGACAAAAAAAAATGTTTTGCCTGTTAATGAATTTCATCTGGTATTCTGAATTCTTTTAACTTGTAAATTGTTCCTCCAATTTTTCAAATAAGTTTAGAAATAATTTATGTAATAGGGAACAGAATTTTAAGGTCAGTTGTAGCCAGAATCATTCTGTATTTATTTTTTTTTCAGAGCATTTGACGAGCATGGATGAGGTTATAAGCTTGGAGGAATGTTTGCAAACATTGGCTCTAGAGGCTCGTGGTACGGAACTAATTCAATCAAATTTATTTCACATCCTCCATATTTAAATATAAAGTATTTACTGATATTATGTAATTATTATTATTATTATTATTATTATTATTATTATTATTATTATTATTATTATTATTATTATTATTTAAATTAATTCTTTTTTGTAACTCCAAAATACTCACTTATATTCAGTAAGTAGCAGTAGGAAAAAGATGGGTTGCCAGTCTGATGAAACCACTACATTAGTGGCGAACGTTACTGAATAAAGTGAGTAACATCATACGTTTTTGGTTTTGGAGTTGGAAAAAAAGAAATAGTTTAATTATATTATTATCATTCTCAAATGAATTTATTCAAAGAATTATTTTTTTTGTTGTTATTGTTGTTGTTGTTGTTGTTGTTGTTATCATCATTATTATTATTAATATTATTTAATTATTATTTGTTGTCATTTGTTTTTATTATATTGTATGTGCTGTTGGTCCCTGGAGGATAACAATGCTTTTGCAGTAATCAGATCACACAGAGTAAAGAAGAAATGAATAAATAAAGAAAAACAAAACAAAATTGAGATTTGATCTATATTACCAGTAATCATAGCCAAACTTTTGAGAGTGAGCAATAAGTCTTATGTCCTATATTTTGCTGTGGTTAATAGTTGATGGCAATGGAACACCACTCCTCTCTGATTTTTTTTTTAGAACTGTTTGACAGGTATTTTAGGTGATGGACAGTGTAATGATACAACATGTTTGCAATTTTATATTTTATTTTATTAATTCAATTGTCTCATTTTAGAATCTGTTGTATGTACAGGTATGTTTATTTTACAAATGCACTGCTGTTTTAAAAGGTTTTTTCAAATAAAGCAATGTAATTAATTACAATATTCCTCTCTTTTAATGATTTCTGGTTTTATCCGTTGTCATGTCAGCATAATGAAGTCTGTCATAATGCTAATAGTATGTAATGCTTATAATGGTTGTTTTAGTAAATAGAGACATTTCTAATTCGCTCTTGTAACTTACCGTTTCTGATCTTGCTATCCCATATACTGTGATTTTGTGAAACCATCCGTGTAAAGAGTGCTTTAAAATGTTCAAATTATTTGTTTTTAAGTACATGTGTCATTTTTAAAGTTTTATTTTTTATGGATTTTTTTTATTAAACTTAATTTCTGATTCCAGAATTATATTTACGTGACTCTGTGCCTGTTCTCGACACTGAACCCTCTCCTCTTCAGTTCTACAAGGACTTCGTCTCCAGTAATGCTCCGTTCATTATTAGGAATTGTGTAAGCCACTGGCCAGCATTGAGCAAGTGGAATTACAAGTACCTTAAGTAAGTATAAACATCAGTGGTGTAATGCCTATGCGCTCTCATGCGGCAGTTTGCAGGCACCCCCCATACGATCCTCGATCTAGCACCCTGACCCAAAGGGGCTTTGTTGATATAACAGCATATTATATCTCTGACATCGACTGTAGGACATCATATTATACAGGCGTGATCCAGACCTTCGCACTGTTCGCCATGGCAAAGGTCAGGGTGAATGATAAAATATTTTAAAAGGATTGCAGCACCTGGTGGTCTGGCAAATTTCCCCTTCTTTCTAAATTCAATGATTTGTTTCATTGTCTGAATATTAATTAAAAAGTTAATGTAACTAACTACACTATTGAGTTTTGTAATTGATTTGTCACTTCACTTTGTCGAAGAACAGAAAATTATATTCAAATCTAAGTCCGAGAGTGCCATTTCCAGCCATCTAGAGGTGCTATAATCATAAATTTTCTTACTGCAGCCCCAAGCATGGTGGTAATTTTTCCCTATCTGTGAAAGTTCTTCCCTGGGCCCCTTCTATTTCAAATCCACCGCTATGAAAGAAATTGGGTGGGGCTTACAAAGAAAAAAAATGGAAGTACAGTACACAATTTATGTTGGCCCGCCGCTGGTCTGAACAGATATTGAACCATTAAGCCATTCAACTCCACTCCATTAAACTCTTTGTCAGCCTACAGTATTATAATAAGTTTTTAATTTGATTTTCTTTTTTTTTTTCTGTCATTGTACAGGATATACTGTATAATTTAATTCTTATTATTTGAAATTTGCTTAATTGGTATATTTAAGCAAGCTATTAATTTACAGCAAATTAAAAATTTTTAAATTAACAGAAAGTATTTCCTCTTTGCATACCCTTACATTGACTGGTAATCAATTTGAGGAATTTTGAAGTACAGTGTTTGTATATCAACAGGAAATATTTTTTCTATTATCTGTTTCTGGTTGAAAGTAATAATAGTATATTTGTTTCTTTTAAATGCACTATTTAATTAATTTTAATTGGATTTTTGAGGTTTTTTTTGGGCAGACAAAATACCGTATATCTTTAATTCTGTGGTAAGGCCTCAATATCTGACGTAAGTCGTGAATTAAGCCCAAATCTAGTCATGTTACTTGGTGCGAGTAATGAATCAGGTTTACAATAATTTATAGAATGTTAATGATCTTTATTCCATTACCCTTTGTAATCAGATACTAACATAAATGTCAAATGTATAAACTGAAAGGCCAATCAATATTACGAAAAGATTAATGTGAGGCCTCACCACAAAATGAGTCTCATGGTTAGAATATCAAAAATTGAGTTTTTATTATATTTGGGTGGATTACATTATAAGCTTTAATTTGGTCTTTGAATGGCTTCACTAGGATATGTAGATCCAGATGTGAGCATTTAAATATTATGTGTAAGAGAACCACATTTTGAGAAAATTGGCCTCCAAGATAAACAATAGGACTAGAATTACAGAATATTTTCGCAGAGAATACTGTTTTGGTAAGAAATTTCACTTAAAAAGTATACAATCATTAAATATAAATATCAAGTTATTCAAAAACATTAAAAATCAAAATTGTGTAAAATTTTGACTTTTGACCTATTTTGGTGATAATCTCAAAATGATTTCACTAACGATGCGTCTCATTTTGTGGTGAGACCTCACATATGTTTTAAATGCTAATTTGTTTTTTTTTCCCCAATAAAAATGTATCATATTTGGTAAATTATTATATAATAGTCTCCATTGAAAATATATATGTATATTTATTTATTTATATTTATTTACTTTGTGAACATACGCCTTTAGATCGGTGGCACTCGAGGGTGGTGCGTTCAACTTAGATACAATATAATGAATCACTTAATTACAGTACAATAAATATCAATAAAACATAATTGACACAAACTTAAAAGATAATTAAAATGAAACTGAGAAATAGGGTTGTGAACTTTAAAAAAATTAAAACAATAAAACAGTACAATAATATAAAAAATATATTTGTGTAGACATACACAAATAAATCCCGGCTCCCTACACAAGCTGGATTAAAAATTGTACAGGTCTCTCGCCAATTAAAGACCCCTCCAATTAAAGACCACCTCCAATTAAAAACCATATTTCTGCAGCCCTGGTTCAATGCTTATCTTTTATCATTAACTGTTCTCTCCAATTAAAGATTACCTCTATTTAGAGACCAAAGACCATATGGTTTTGGTGGACCCAACTGAAAATTTTCCCTCCCATTAAAGACCACTATAAAATAAATGCAATTTTTTAGAATAAATTGTGTTTTATATATGACTTTCACACAGAAATATTAGCCAAGTTTTGTGTACAGTGTTTGGGTATATGATAATGTTACTATTAGCAGCTATTAGTGGCAATTTGTTTGTAATATTTTAATGGAAAGACAAGTTGATGTTTGGCTACCATGAAATGTTTTGATAAGAATAAATAAACAACATGCATGTGTTAAATAAATAACATCAAAGTTAGTCTCAGAGTGCTGCCTTTTAATTTTCTTTGTAAACGGCATGCAGTAACTGTATATCTATTTTAAAACAGTTAATGTATTATTTTTAAAATTCCCACAAAATAGAGAAATCTAAGACCACATTTAGTGTGCGAGTTCAAAGTCTCCTGCAGAGTTCCGGAATGGAGTCTCCTGGAAATTGACAGGAAGGACTCCCGCACTCCGGCCTGCAAATCAGCAAAAATCTCCCAAAATAAACCATCTCGTGGAAATTTATGATGATATTTGCATGCTTTTACAAGTTTTTACTGCTGTATTAACAATTGTCTCCCAGCAGTTAGTACCTGAATTATAATTGTTATCAATATGTACATCAAAATTTACAGTATTTATAATTTCTTGCACATGTGGATTCTTCCAAACTTGGGACCCCTGTTGAGTGCAAATCTTTAATTATACAGTAGGGATTCTATTAGACACCAAAGAGAATGGATTTGGCAGACCGGACTGAACATTTTCTGCTACTTTTAAAATATGTGGAGGTTGTGCAGTGTTTTTACAGACTGCAGCCATCAACATACTGTACATCTAAAGGTTATGGTTTGTGTATACAATGCTTCATATTGAATACCAGAAATGTATAAACAGGATGTTGAAGTTCGTAGTTTTCTAATTAAAATGGATACTTGGGTAAGATAAGCGGAGGACTTGATGTGGCTACTGACAAATGTTTTATACTAAATTAGTAACAGCATACATTTAAATCCATTCTAAAACATTTGGAAGAAAACATTCAAACATAATGTAAAATATCATGGTTTTGTCATACCCAACTGAAAATATATAGTGATTTTAATGCAGTTTTTAACAATATGATGATGATAATATGATGATATCAAATAATACAAAACATAAGATGATGTTTTGTGTACAGCCCTGCAGTGCTATATATTGAATTAGTAGGACGGTGTTAGTAATATTTTGATTTGGGTAGAACGACCACGGGACTTGATGTGTGACTACCAGGAAAGAGTATTAAGAATCAATAACAGCATACTGTAACTGTACATCCATTCTAAAAATACTTGGAATAAAATAATCAAACATTTACATTTCCATCTCAACAGAGATATTTTTTATATTTTGGATGCCTGTAGTGCAACAGAATGTTTAGGCTTAAAAAAAGTGTTCACGATTTTTAGACCAGTGGTGGTCACTTTGTCTTTGATCTTGGACAAGATACTTATATGTCTCTCTCCACAGAACACTTTAATTAGAAAAAATATAAATGAGCTGTACTGGGTAAAGACAACTTGATTTCTTGCTTCAAAAATGGTATCGATTCCTAGAAGTCTTACAAAGATCAGCCTACCTAATAGTGACCTTAGACTGTGGAGACCAAGAAATGCCTCCAACTTTAAATTGACAAAGATAGAAAAATGTTAAATACAGACACAAAGTATACTGTACCTACTGTGGTCTAGTTAGAATACGTAAATTTTTCAGCAAAATAATAATTATATGCATATTAGTATTTTATCTAGTAAAATAGATTTAACAATATGGGAAAAGCAGAGAAAGAAAGAAGACTAGGAAGAAACTCGGAGTGGCTTATAATTGTATTCCATAACTGATACATAATAATGATAAATACTGTAGCTCATTATTACATTTTACGTGTTTGTACTTAATTTTGGACACTAATCGTCAGAGGTGAAGGTGTCGAGCCTACTGTACATGTTTCATAATTTGACATGTCTCTGTCTACCAAACAATAAGGAGCTTCTGCTTCGTGCGACGACGCGGCGCTAGAACGGAATCTGTTATGTGTGACCGTCCTACCTGGCGTCCTATGTTCTCTGCATGTAAATTTGGCCAAATTGCTTTCCAGAATCTACTGGACGAGGTGACCTTAACGTTCTCGCATGCGCAGATGACTTTTAGTGACATCATTATGTTCTACGTCCTACCGTCTTCGTGCAATCGGAAGCTTCCTATTATAATTGGGCCCCTGGTAGGAGGTAAATTATTTGGAGCGAAATCTCTGTCTTTCTACAGGGGAAGTGGCTGGACCTGAATTTGTCCAATTATTATAGAGTCTAACATTTATTTTGTATGATTGATATTAAAGTCAGACTCCGGAGGAAAAAACATTTTTACACCTTTTTCCCCCAGTTTTTAAATAATCAAAATCTGTATCTCATTCACCGTTGCTCAGTTTTTGATCAAACTACTTTTTTCTGTCTAAGAAAAATCCGTTCTACAAAATAAATATTGTAATAATTATCTCTTTTCTGACATTTTTATTTATTTTTAAAATTATTTTATGCTTTGGAGAACCCTCAATAGTGTCTTACCTTTGGAGGGAATATTATATTGTATTTTTATTTTCATCTGAAATGTTGTAATAATAATGATGGTAATAAGTCATCTGTTTTATGTATGCTAGTATGCATGATTGATGCAGGCTCCAGCTGTATAAATCATGATAATTAAATTACAAATTGCAAGAGAGATACACTTTATTATTCTCTATTCTATTACACTGTTGCCAGGATACCATATTTACAGTACACAACTAATTATAGTTAGAATATACATCTAATACAAACATACTGATTAGTTTATTAAAGGGACTAAAAGTGACTTATCCTTCAACTAATTTTTTTTTCTTATTGTTTTAATATTTGTATGTGAACATTATTTGTTTGTTTGTTATTTTATTGCCTTCTATAGCACCAGCTATTCACCAATTGAGAACCACATGTAAGTTTTCACTTACATGTTATGCTCGTAGCCGAGTTGGTAGATATACTGTAGATAAAATAGTTTGTCACTACTACAAAACGATTTAAGTAAGCATAATCTAAAATTAAAAAACTTAAAAGATCTTGAAAACCTTATGCAACTTGCCACAAACAAGCAATGTTGGACCCTGAGATTTTTTAAGTGACGCAATTGAAAATTATTTTTTTTAGTAATTGTTAGTCTTAATGTATGTGCAACTCATTGAAACTGTTTTCTTTTTCTCTTGTATCATTGATCAGATATATATTTATATATTTTTGGGAAACAATAGCTTAATAACAATAATAATAATTCACCAATTAAGTAAATTTTTACCTGGAGGATCAGACTTAAAGCCTTCCTGGCTTATTGTTTCCTCCACACACATTGACTTTAGGTAATTATATATTTTTTATAAATACCATGAAATTCTATTTTGACCATATTATTGTTATATTAAGCTTATGAATCAGTTCTGTTGAATTATTATAATATTATTATGTTCTTATATTTGATGTTCATTGTGTGAAACAATAATACTGACCTGCACTGAATATAATTCTACAATCCATTAAACATACTTTTTAATAAAACAATAAAGTTTCAGAAATTTTGACTGTAAAAACCAAATAAAACATTAATTATGTTTTAACAAAGTTATAGCAGTGAGTGAGGTTATGTGCTCAGTGGGATTTTAGTGCTTGGATTACTTCATGTAAAAATTGTGTCGTTTTTGTAAAAATTTTCAGCACACACAGTTTGCTATTAATACCTTAGGAGTAATTAAAGAATATTAAATGGAGAGAAATGATACTTTGTATTGTAAGGTTGTCCAGTAACAATAATGCTAGTCATTGTAGGATACTGTACATTGTTATGAAATAATATGCAATTATACACGCTGAATTGTATGCGATTGTACAGTATGGTTGGAAAATTACGAGATGGTTCCATCAAATAACAAAGAAAAAACTAATAAACTACATATCTGTTTGTGAAATAGAAGTAATGAATCAATTGAAATAATGAAAACCTAGTTTTGGAAATTATAAAGTAAAGAAAAAAATATTATAAAATAAATGTGATGCTTCCAAAACTCAAACTGCTATAATACTGCATACTGCCGAGGTAAAGCACAGACAAGGGGTCACAAGGCTCCCACATTTCGCTGGAGTCTCTCAGAAATCGGGAAGGCCTCCCAAACTCCTGTGAGACAGAATAACATTCTCCCAGAAAATAATAAATTTACGATATTTACATGTTTTTATTGGTTTTTAATACCTATTTATTTATTTATTTCGGTATAAAATATACAACAGGCAGCCAGATGGCTGAAAACGTTGAACTCACACATATCAAAAAAGTGAAACAACAAGATAAACATGAGGTTAAAAATATAAATCAAAATTTAGCAGCCGAAGGATTAATTCCAGCCTACGCAGCTAGTTATCTCCCGAAACACAGAGCCAATCACCATGCACAGCAAAATATATTTAGTTGTGAAGCAAGGTCACTCAAACAGATCTCCTGGATGTGGATTCTTTCAACGTGGGACGCCTGAATTTGACCTCTAACTTGACCCATGTGCGGGGTACTATCTTTTCCTAATTTATAATGTCCGCTGTCTTGCTCTCTTCCCAGATCATCTGCACCAGTTTTTTGCACGATTGAGCAGCCTAAGACTTTGGGTTGCTTATCAAACAAGCATGAGTAATTCTAATTATTTCTTTTTTAATTTCAGAGAGAAACTTGGAGATCAATCGGTTAGTGTTGCCGTGACACCAAATGGATACGCCGATGCAATCCATGATGGCTTTTTTGTGATGCCCGAAGAGCGGCAAATGAAAATGGGGGATTTTTTGGACACGCTTTCGAGTGAGCCGGTATCTAAAGCTGTGTTTTATCTTCAGAAGCAGAATTCAAATCTCACAACAGAGTTGTCCTGTCTGGTGGATGATGTGGATGAGCACATCTCCTGGGCTACAGAGGCCTTAGGTTCGAACATTCAGTTACTCATATTGTTTCGGTTTTTCTTTTATGTATTTATCGCTTTCCATCACGTATTTAATAAATCATAGAGAATTATACAAAATATACATAATAAACAATTTTTAAACTAAAACATCAAATAACAAATACGTAATGTTAAAAGATGCAATACAAAAAACAAGTAGAACAACACAATCAAATATCAGTATTTTGAACATGAAAAGCCGGTTTAGCTCTATATAGATTTTTTTTTAAGTTAAGTGGAAATTTTTAAACCTTTACTTTACATTTTGCATTGTTAAAGATTACTCAGACACCATTAACTAGTGTGTATACCCATCAATTAGAATTCACAAGATTATAGAATTTAACAATTTAAGTAAAATACACTACTTATTCCCAATAACAGTATATTTATAAAGGGTTGCAAATTTTCTGTGAGTCGCAGGAGTCTTTTGCGAGCAAGCAAAAATTTTCCATCTATGCACATATTTATCTAATTCTAATATTTGCATGGTATTGCTTCTGCATAATTAATTTTCATGTGGAAGTCAGTGCTGATGGGTATCACTGCATACAGCAAATTACAATTACTGTAGATGTGATACGAAAGCACAATTGTAACTAGATCTCCCCAAAGGCTTGTTCCGACCACTGATACATTAAATGCCGTCTTTTGAAATCCACCTTTACAACTTTCACTTTTATGATCATATTCATGATCCAATGGAACGGTTTTGGTCCTCAAAGTTGAGGTCAGAGGTATATCCATCTCTTCGCTCTGAACTAGTTTTGCTTCTTGTCGTGGACATATTGTTTTTTTTTATCGAAACTAAACACTACGTTCACATATTAAAGGATAAACTGGTAAAGCAAAGACACTCTCCATAGTAATTTATAGTTTTGAGTTGTATTTTTATTCTAATAAAAAATGAAATTCATTAATTCAAATTTTGTGAAAAGTGGAGAATATTTTTTCTCACAAATCCAATCAAAACTTTGTATAGCTTATTGTCCATATTCGCTCTTCACAGACGATACTTCTTTATTAAACAGATGCATATCCGTTCACATATTAAAGGATAAACTGGTAAAGCAAACACACTCTCCATAGTAATTTATAGTTTTGAGTTGTATTTTTATTCTAATAAAAAATGAAATTCATTAATTGGAGTGGAGAGTATTTTTTCTCACAAATCCAATCAAAACTTTGTATAGCTTATTGTCCATATTCGCTCTTCACAGATGATACTTCTTTAACAGATGCATAAATTAAACACTGTAGTACTGTTTCTATATTCTTCACTTAGCATCTTAAAGGTCAGGCGTTCAAAACCCTCGTTGTGCAGGTCGCTTGTGTCCTTGGGCAAAGCACTTTCCGCTAGACTTTATACCTTGTTTAGCGAACCCCGCTGCCCTCCAATAATGATGATTTCGAATAAAAATAATTTTTTTTTTTGTTCTATTAGCACACCAGCCGCCATGAAAAAAAATGAAAATAAAAAAAAAATTTATTTATTATTCATTACCTGCCGCTGCCTTGCAATCTTAAAAAATTAGATAAGTTTACTTCTCCTTAAATATATAAATTTAATGAATTCAGCCATCCCATTACTACACTGTTTATATTCACCAATAACATTTTATTTTCTCTTCAATCTGGATGTTTTTGGCAAATCTGTTTGCTGAATAAGAAAACAATAAATTATATTTTTTTTGACAATATTTAAAAAAAAAGTTCATGAAACAAGGTATAAAAAAAGTCTCGACTTATCTGTTTGTTTCTCTCCACCCAGGAGTGGTTACCTGTGGATCTAATGCTGATTCTTGTCACTTGTAGAATTGTGCTTCCCCGGGGACAGAAGTTGTGTTCCATTGATTAGGGGGAGGTGATAATAATGTGAAGGGCAATGATGCACTTTATTTCAATATGCACTATATAAATTATTATAATTATTAATACAAAATTAATTCTTACTTATAACTGACATAATGGTATACCTAAATGTATTTTCTAGATTATATTACAGTTTATCTTTTTAGTATAGTTGAAAGATATACTTATATTATTATAGCAGCTAATATAAGTATATCTTTACAATTATATTATTCATTAATATTAAGTTTTAATATTCTTCAGGCAAACTTCCTGATGCTGTAAATTTCTGGCTTGGGGATAAGAGAGCAGTGACATCTAGTAAGTATATCACTTTTTTTAAGTTGTTTAAAAGCCCAGCACAGACTACACCAACAAATTGTTAGCTGACGCAATTCCAGAGAAAATGCAATGCAACGAGGCACGCCAACAAATTGACTTTAATGACTATCCACTCTGACATATACTGCCAGACACTGAGAATCAGCAGAATGTATGTTATACGAGATATGCCATCACAAAAATAAGCATCCAACAAAACAAAAATTGAGATTTTAATAATATCCATATTCCCCATATTATAGTATAGATTCCAGTAAATTGTTCATTGTCTGGAATCGTTTAGCAATTGCCTATGTTATGAGTATTAAGTACAAAGTATACAATACTGTCACATTGTTAAGTGCGCATTACTAAACTTTAGCATAATATTGTATTAACAGTTCTCACCTTTTTAGAATAGCAGGCCTAATATTATATCTTTGTGTGGAACAATAAACTTGATTAACTAAAAATACTCGGTAGTTTGACAACATGCCAGTGGCGGATTGCCGGGTTTTGGCCAGCTGGCCCGGGCCCACCCCCCTCCCCCTAAATTTTTCAAAATTAAAAAGAAAATTGAAAAAAAGAAACTCCTACTAAAATTTTGAGTCTAAGATTACCATTTCCAGTTATCTAGAGGTGTGATGATTATAAATTTTCTTACCTCAGCCAAAACCATGGTGGGCTAGTATAGACCCTCCGTCTGTGAAAGTCCTTCTCTGGGCTCCCCTCTATTTCAGATTCCTGGATCTGCCACTGCATGCCATTGAGTATGTATGTAAGTCAATGAGTTTGATTGCCCATAAAATAAATTTCATTTTGAGCAAAGAACATGGTTTGAAGTTTGTCTTATTTTTACAATTAGTAATTTCTCAAAGCTAAAGCAATTATTAATTTAAACAACTTCAGAACTTTAAAAATCAAATGTCTTTAACAATGTATTCTGTATAAACATTACATAAAATTCAATTTCTCTCCAGGATATGAACTGGTTTCAGTTCAAATAATACTGTGTGTGCATTGTAATAACCTATTGTTACTAGTCAGACACCTTTTCCCGAAATTTGAGACAATCAAGATAGCACTATCCTAGGTGGTCCAAGGGGAATTCCCCTCAAAATTTTTGTTTTCTAGACACCCGGCGTTTTGGGATATCATTTTTTTTCTTTTTCATTATTCCCTTCCCCCCCCCCCCCCCCCCCCCCCCCCTTTTTTCCCTTCCCCCCCCCCCCCCTACTAAATCTGCCCGAGACACTCACAGTAAGGCAAAAATATGATTTAATGTAAAGCATTCTTGGCTACAATAATATACTAACAGTGGTCCAAACCTGCCCAAGCCTTATTGTTTAATAGTAAACGTGGCAATAAGTAATTGTACACATGTTTACCTACAGTAGTACAGTACAGGCATCGCAAACCTCTGCATGTATATACTAAAACACATAAAGCACTTACCGTGAACAATGAGCAAGTCGTCTGCATAATATATTTCCCCCGTTACCATTGTACCTAAATCAGGTTTTATTTCTTATATTAGAAGTAATTTTATAACCTAAGTATGTAACAACACTCTTAACATTTGGGACCTCATAGTATTGTATGTTCAATAGGATGGGGTGGGGGGCATGTAGTTTATGACTTGTTTGACAGAGAAACGACATTAATTTTTACTGTTATGCACAATGCCTTTATCAGTTAACAAACTGCTTGCATATACTGCATTGGAGACCTGATGCTAATAGAGATACAAGAATCGCATCGTCATCATAACATAAATTATTTAATCTTTAATCTATTATTATACAAACATCCAATATTTGTTTTCACTACTCGGTTTATGACAATTATGTAGAATAAGGGTGAGTGTGTCTCTGGTGCAGGTGAAGTCATGATAACATAAATTATTTAATCTTTAATCTATTTATTATACACACATCCATACAGTATATTTATGTTTGACACTACTCAATTTATGATTATAAGATACGTAGAATAAAGGTGAGTGTATCTCTGGTTCAGCTGATGTGTCTTATACAGGTTATCAAATTCATTTAATCAACTATTAATTAAAATTTAATATTTAGGCAAATTTTTTTTGGATTCAATATCAGTAGAGTTTTTATGTCAGTTCTTTATTTTACATTTGTAGTGTTTTCGTATGATGCAAACTGTTACGCACTTTGTGGAAACAGGAAATAATTTGAATGTTTTGTAGTTATATAGTGTGTATATATACAGTACACATCAGTGGCGGACCATCAAGGCAAGCAAGGTATGCAGTGCATACCCTGGCTAAAACAAATAAGCAAATATAGTAGTACAGTTTCTGCATTTGATTTAGCATTTCTTAGCCACAATCTTCTATATAAACCTTAATTTTTCGAGTGGATTGCTGTAGTTTATTGGAAAAGCAAAGTTTTTCAATGTTTGGCCTACTTTGGTATCTGGGATAAGTCACATTCGGGCCTATCGCATCGTACTCTCAGTTGCTTAGAATGTCCGCAATTCTGGTTTTCAATATCTACCAATCACGTATTCAGTGAGTCACTGGGAGTCAGAGCATACCCTACAATGCTTAAATTTTCTATTGTGACAACCATGTGGTGGCGTCAGAATAGCCAATTTAACACTGGAATGGAAGCAGTGCTTCCAAGAGTATGTGCGCATCCTCTTCTTCTCGCAAATCAGGACTTCCACTGCTGATCGGGTAATCTATCTATATGCCTAATCTCAATGATTAAAGATTAAATAATTTGCATGCATATAACCGGTATAGAAGAAACTTTGAATTATTATTATTTGAATTGAAATATGTTAAAATAGAGGAATAGGAATTATTTTGAAAAGAAGATGCTACAACCATGCCAGTATTGAAAATAACATACATTTGTATTTTGGCTATAGTGCAATCTGATCCTGTATAGTAGTAGGCTTACGAACATTTCCTACTAGCAGGCCCTAGCATCAGTGGTGTAGGGGTCTTGAAATGGAAGGGAGCTGATGTAGTGTGTAGGTAAAGTGGGAATCGGTGATTAGGTGAGGGGGGCTAACTCTCAAAATAATGTGATTTAAGGTGATTTTTAACTACTTGAGCATGATTTGTGGGTGGTGGATGGGCGAGTATTTATATCAGGGGGAGGGACGTGCGCGACCCTCGCACATCCTAGATATGCCAATACATAGCATACATACCCTGCAATTAATCCTACGGTCCGCCACTGGTACACATACTATACAACATATGGTAATGTTGTCGAAGTAATCATTCAAAACCCAATGTGGGACCAAAATGGAGGACTAGAGCAAATCAATCGTCATTTTTTCTTCCCAACCACACAATAAATTCTGATAACTATCTTCTTTTCAAACAAAAAAATTATCACTTGCTTTAAAAATGTATTCTTGTTTACTCATTTGCCTTAATTGTGTTGTTGGGCTTTTGCTATTTGGTCTCACTTACACTTACATTTATAGAATAGGCCTATTCTTAAAACAATTTACGAAGCTTGTTGCTGTAAAACAATAAAAGCCACAGCCCACAGCAACTATGTGCTGACAGAGCATTTTGAGGAAATTCGAACCCTGTGTATATGTGTGTGTATATATGTGTACACACACATATATCTGTCTCTTATACACATCTAGATGTGTATAAGAGACAGCAGTAGTACAGTACAGGCATCGCAAACCTCTGCATGTATATACTAAAACACATAAAGCACTTACCGTGAACAATGAGAAAGATGTGTATAAGAGACAGATACGAAGAAGGCATGTCCACATGTGTTTCGAAACATATGTAGAATATAATATATAGTATATTATATTATAATAATATTATAACAATATTGATATTCGTTGTGTTGTTTGCCTGAACTTTCATTAAATTTAAAAAATTTAAATTTTAAAAATATTTAAAAAAAATAATAAGATAAATTTTAAAAATGAAAAATATTTTTGTTTTTGTTTTTTTAACTTCATTGCAGTGCATAAAGACCATTATGAGAACCTGTATTGTGTCATCTCAGGTGAAAAGCATTTCACACTACTACCACCCACTGAAACGTATTTCGTACCATATGGTAAGTTTATGTATGTATTCCTAGAACTTGCAATGTTTGCGAATAGTATTCATCGGAGCAGCATTCCAAAGTCGTCATTTGGTTTTAATCACTATCTTGGCCATAGAATGCATAATTAAGAATAGCTTAAAGTTTAATCATAGTGCATGTATAATTGAATTTCTACATTGAAATATAATTATAATCATCGATGTTGCCATTGTTCATTATCATCAGTATCATATTATCATCGTCATCATTATTATCATCATCATTAACATTATCATCATCATCATCATCATTATCATCGTCATCATTAATGTGATGTTTCATTCATTCATTCCTGATGATGACATAATTAATGTTGAAATATTGAATCCCAACATGATGGCATGCATTTCAATACTTGGGAGTATGTATTATACATTCTTACGTTTTATACTGACTATATTAATCATTCTTCCTCATCATCAATATTATCATCATCGTCGTCATTGTTTCATTATCATTATCATTAATATAATTTTTTATACTGACTATATCATTCAATCAATCTTCCTCATCGTCATTCACTTATATTTTCTTGAGTAGTTTCACAGACTGACCGCTTCATTCTTTCCTTGGGTATCTCGCAACTCAGGAGTTATGTGTTACCCATTTGGTTTAAAAGCCAATGTGTTAGTTAATCAATATTTTTGCAAATAACTCCTTCTGAGAATTCAGCGTTATTAATAGATCCAATAATTGTGGTTATAATGTAAAGCACATTAAGGCCATAGCAGCACAGTATTCACTACACTACGTACAGACCAATGTATTATTATTATCAGCATCATTATTGGAGTGATGTTTTGCGCCCTACATGACGTGTTATCTTACTGAATATCCAGTACATTCCCAAATATTAGCAAAAAAATAATCTCGCTTGTGATTCAGGTGGGAATTGAACCCATGACCTCCAGATAACTAGCCTGGTGTCATAACCACTAGACCAACAAGCTTGCGATTAGTGACTAGTGTTGAATCCTATCCCCAAATAGCAGCGGGTACTGCAAATGCTATTACGATGTGAGTATGCATCAGGAAAATATCATAGGAGTGATGTTTTGCCCTACCAGGCGTGTTATCATACTGAATACTCAGGACTTTGCTAAATACTTGTGAAAAAATCTTACAAGTGATTTAGGTGCGCGTCAAACCCACGACCTCCAGATAACAAGCAAGAATTGAATATTCTTTTAAAGCAGTTTGGCGCAGTGGAAACAGTTTGGTTTCCCAACCTTGAAGTCGGGGTTTTAATCCCTCACTGTGCATTTTGCTGTGTCCTTGAGCAAAGCACTTTATCTGCAATTGCTTCTCTACCCAGGAGTATAAATCGGTACCTGTTGGGTTGGCCTGCTCCTGCGCTGATTACCAGCAGCCACACTTAGCATATGGACCCAATGACCAGGGAAAAGAACTGCGCTTTATAACCTCAAGGGAGAGGCGTACTGTAAATGCAGCAGTATCAGATAACACGTCAGGTGGGGAAAAACATCACTCCTATGAATTTTCTGATGCATAAAACAACAATCAAAATATCATTATTGTTATTTTTATTGTAATTATTATTATTACATACATTGATTTATTGTGATCATAATCATCATCATCATCATCATCCATCGTTGTTATTCTTGTTGTTAATTTCTTTTCTTTAAATAGAATTTTCTTTTACTTATTGTATTATTATTGTTAATTATACCCTTCAAGGTGATTTTCCAGCTGCTGTGTACAAAGAAAATTCAGAAGGGGACTTTGACATAATCCCTCAACCGGATATAGGAACTGTCCCATGGGTAACAGTCGACCCACTCTCACCAAATCTGAAAAAGAACCCAGAGTTTGCCCAAGCTCGACCAATTAAATGCACTCTAAGAGCTGGTGACCTTTTATATCTACCTTCTCTCTGGTTTCACCACGTTCATCAATCGCACGGATGCATTGCTGGTAAGTTTGATAAAAATATACTTTAATTTTTGTATTATTTGAATTGAACATGGTTAAAAAAAATGAATTATTAATACTGTATAATGACGTTACCTAGGATACTGCCTTGCGGCAAGAAGCAAATGATTGTTATAGTTACAAAGAGATGGTAAAAAATTTCACTGTGGCATCTCAATAATAATATGACTTTCAACACAAATGATATAATGAAATCTATTTTTTGGCATATGATTATCAGTGAAATGAGATATATTTGCTGACAAGGGTATTCAACATTTTGGAATTGGGCTAAAATATTACAGATGATCTTGATGAAGAATACTATGATCAATGCAATATTAATGATTATTGATCCATTAGTCTGCTTGTAGAAATAAATAACAGATGATAACAACATATTCCTTAACTCAACTCTCAATTTAAGCGTTATTCAAGGAGCAGAGGTCATATCACATTATGTTTTCCTGGAAAATGTTCTTAAACGACTATTCTACACCACTGTATGTTTGAAAAAACTGTAGAATAGTCTTTTAAGAACATTTTGCAGGAAAAATTATTTTGCTACGACCCGCCGTTGTGGAGTTATGAATTTTTAAATAACATGAGTTCAATAATGTAGCCTAAAAGCTTATCTTATTTTTGTTGGTTACGCACCACTGACTTGGGTTGTTTGTCATCACAAAAGGCGTAATAAAAAACCAACACTATCTGGGTTTGAACCGGGGAGTCTTCGGTACAAGAAGCAGGAACATTACCCCACGACCAAACACTCAACTCACTTCTATCATTTTGCTTTCAGTTAACTACTGGTATGATATGGAATTTGACATCAAGTACAACTATTTCAAATTTACCGAGTCTATTGGCGATATATGCCGATACCACCATAATGAAAAGAGGGGAAGAAAGAAAAAAGAAACGGATTAGAACCAGGGGATGAAGTGAAAGTCAGGGTTTTGTGCAATTTCTGATCACAATATGTTTATTTTTTAATATGTTACTTCATGTTAGGTGAGACACTTTTTTATATCTTTTTAATCGAGCTTGAAATATTCAGAGAATTAAGGGCGGAAAAACTTGTTTCATTCAGTGAAATAGTTTTGTCTATTAAAGCATGTATGCAAAGGAGAAAATAAAAATATAAATTTATTTGCGAACGAAATAATATTGCAAGTGAGTGCAGTAATAAGAGTAAATAAAGTAAATACAAGAAAAATCAAGGTTACATAGGAAACAAAGAAAAAGAAGAAAGATAAGGAAATATTACAAAGGTAATTTAAGCTAAAGAAGCAATGCATAAGGAGGCATTAGAAAGAAAGGGGAAAGGAAAGAAAAGGTAATTAAAAGGAAAAGGGAGACTAAAGAAAGAAAAGGTAGGTAAATAGGAATCACGGAACGTTAAGGAAGCATATTATGAAAGTAAAAGAGAAGATAAGTAAGTAATTAGACGGTTAGCTAATACTAAAATAGAAAACAAAAACAAGGAACGTGAAAGTAAAATATAAGGTCAGCTAATATTTTCGCCCTCTAGGGACCTTCTTTTGTTTTGCACTGCTGAAGCTTGTCAACTACTGTGGTAGTCAATGACAGCCACTTGTTCTGTTGATTCAGAACGGTTAAGAACTTTATTATTTATTATTATAAAGTGTATATTAAGGACCTTGTTCAAGACCCTATCATATGCCCATAACGAATGTGATGTTGCAGTGTAGTCTGTGTTGATAAATGTTCATATTTTGGCAGAAATATACATTTCTTATTAGGAGATCCCATGGCGGATGGAGGCGTAATCAAAAATATATAAGTGGTGGGTGGGCTCTTAGTGAAATTATTTGACTTTCCATTGGATTGGATTTATTCGGTGTAAACACCAAGGATAGCCCACGAAAGTCTAGAAGAAGACTTATTTCCAGTGGGGTCCTTCTGGTGGTGATTGGGCAGTACATTCCATTCACCATATTTTGAACACCATTCAGAAAAATTTCAAACTTTTAATGGAAAACGTGTGTTTGCTGCATTTATTCGAAATCCATGTCAAGGGTCAGTAAGTTCCCAAAACAAGGTATAAAAAAGCCTTAGATATTAAAGGCATTCAGTTATCAATCTGTTAATGACGCTTAGTTTAGACCTTGTTTATTTATACCTTAATAAATCAACATATTATTATTATTATTATTATTAATTATTATTAATAATTATTATTATTATTATTATTAATTATTATTATTATTAATATTATTATTATTGTTTATTATTATTATATACATATAATAAATAATTATTTTTTTGTTATTTTAATATATTTTTTATAATTTCTTTTTTTCTGTTTTTAAATATGATTGAAGGTTCAAAATACTCTCTGTGCCTTGAGACGATTTTATTGTGGAACGCACTCTACAAATATTCTGCCATTACCACCTATACTGTAGTATCTGCTGTACTTACTACTATCCACAGGTTCACTTTTTTTGGATTTTTGTTTCCATGGATAATAAAAAATATATAGAAATTGTATTGCAACTCTTGGTTGCCATATACGCTTGGAGTTCATCATTTTTTTTCATCCAGAGGTAAACTAGAACAGATTACAGCAAACATCCCTTGAGTTCATTTTCGCTTTGACTCGATTAGCCTCATTATTTTACATGTGCAGCTGCAAACAACATTCCCTTTATTATATATATATATATATATATATATCTGAATAAAATCACAAGCGAACTGAAGCAGTCTGAATGTCTCATCTAATATTATAGTGAATAAATATAATCAATGTTTCTACTAGTATTTGTATATGTATATATGAACCTACTGTTCATCTTGCATTATTATTTGTGAGTATATAGGTATATATATAGGCATATATATACACTGTTGAATAAATATAATATAAATCATCAAAGGTACATATACAGTGTTTAATAAGGACATGATAGAACATCGTAGACTACCCTGTAGATTTTCAAAGAATAAAGTCCTATGAAAAATCATTGTGTATAAAATTCCTCCGACGGGATTCGAACCTGCGACCTCTTGCTGACAAGTCGAGCGTCATAACCACTAGGTCACGAAGGCTTCATGGTTGAACAGGTCCAAATACCCGTCGGGAACATTGTATTACACAATGCTATGCCTCAAGAGGGCGTTTGGCCAGATAAATCTGGAAATACGGTTAGAAATACTGTCGTATATTATATATGATATTGAAGGAAGTTAGCCGTTAACACTGTTGAATAAATATAATATAAATCATTAAAGGTACATATACAGTATTTAATAAGGACATGATGGAACGAATATTGTTCTATAAATAAATACACTGTGTAATAAGGCCTCCAAAGAGATTCCAACCTGCAACCTCTTGCTGTCAAGGCGAGCGTCATAACCATTATAACGCACATGCTTCATGGTTTCATATTCAAATAACTGTCAGGTAATATATATTACACAATAGTGCGCCTTGAGAGGGCGTTAAGCGAGAAAAGTATGGAGGTACAGCTGGAAATTAATAGTAACATGTAACATTCGAATACTATTTACCTTTCTTTGATGATATATATATTTGGACGGTAAAGAAAAGATTTTTGGTTCGAATACCTGTTTTTCTCAAGTATTTATCGTCTATAATATCAACATACCAAAGTTACTGTCATGTGATATAACCATTATTATATTATATAATTATATTAGGCCTATATATATAAATGTTATGTACATATTGTAAAACGAACATACATACGTACAGTAAATATGTGTATGTATGGGATAGAGATAAATGCAAACGCCAAAGACCTGGAAGAAGATTAGGCCGATAAAATATCTATTGATATTGTTTCCTCTTTCTAGAGAGTTGGATTCAATGGCTTTTAATGTAATGGCATATTGACAGTATATTACATACGGTACATATGTAAATTGAATAGTTGTATTATGGACTCCTATTTTAATGTACCAATTTTAGTTGTTGTAACCACTATTAAGGGGACACTTGTTTTGTGGTTTTTTTTCCCACATTGTGTCACCATAACTACAGCAGTCTCAAAATATGAAGAAATCGTTCAACTTTATATTTTGAAACCTTTTGAGCAATAAACCAGATTTTTCCCCTGAATCCTTAGAGTGAACTTTATGGCTAACTGCATGTCGTATAAATCAATCTTGTCAATTGTGACCGTTAACTATGGGGATTTCTTTTACTTTGTTTTTTCGTGTACTTTCAAGTAGGATTCCAATCCAAAGTATTATACTTTACATGATTATATTTTGTTTACACTACAATGTCGGGGCCCCTCGGGCCTGGGAGACCTGGCGCGCGCTCTCCCCCGCCCCCCCCCGCCCGTCAACGCCACAGCGTTCACGTGAAAAATACTACTTTATGACAGTACAGAAATCGTAATGTATTCAAATTTAATAATAGTAATACTATTAGACAAACATAAGAAGACATGGATACAAATAAAAATACATTACAGTACAATAATGAAGTATATCAAGAACGAAAACTTCGTCTTTAGCATAAGTCGATTGGCGTACTAGTTATTAATACATATTCAAAATATAATTGAGCTCAATTATGGAACTCATTTCACCACAATTTAAAAGTTCCACCTTTTAACCTCTTTAAATTTAAATACAAACAATATTTATGCCACGATTTATGTTAATAATAAACAATAGACCAGTTGTTCTAATGTAAAATTTACCATATAGGCTTAAGCTATTCATTGATGCATTTAGTGAGGTTTTTTTTTTATTGGTGTTATCTTTGTTTAAAATTATTAGATTAAAATTTTCTGCTTATTTTTAAGGGGTTGGTCGATCCTTAATCCTTAAGTGATCCACCCCCACAATAAACTGTAAGTATTTATCATTAATCATACTTCATTACTATGATAAACATTTGTATTGCTAATTATGTTCAATGAACTTCGTGTGGAAATACATAATTTCAATTTGAATTTAAAAAATGTATTTATTATTTATTATTAAGATATTAATCGCTTATACACGCATCTAAACTTATAGAAATCCAGTGCCCATGATGGAGAGATTGTTTGTATTAATTTTTTGGGAAAAACCATAATAATGTAAACAATGTATACTTTTTTTTATTTGGTGTGGCAAAGCCACCTTTATTAGCCACAAATGCATAAAACCAAATCACAAAAATTAACAGAAAAGAGAATAACTTAAGAATTATTATAATTACAATACACAACTTGATTAATTATGAGTCAATTGCGTTTTTCAGAGAACTCCTTTAAAAAAAAAATATCTTCTTTGCAGTTAACCAGGGCAATATATATTTCTCCATTTCATAGTTTTTTTTTTTTTATTTCAAGATTTAAAGCATAGATACAAGGCATGGAATGCTTTGCATTTTGCTCCGGTATAATATGTGTAAACGGCAGAGGGTTAGGACAGTGTTGATTGCCTTCATTTGAATGTTTCTAATTCCAAACAAACTTTATTCCAAAAGTAAAAACTAACATGGCAAAAGAAAAAATGTGTTCGAGTGTTTCTTCACTTTCTTTGCAAAAGTACATGTATTGTTTTTGGATATACCGATTTTAAATAAAAATGATTAACACCTAGAATCCTGTGAATGATTCTGTATTGAAACCATCTTAATTTAACATTAGTACAACTGAAAGTGACATTTGACACAGTTTCCCAAATATTATTATATTTGTTATTTGAAATTCCTATATCCCTCTGCCATTTTTCTTTATATATTTCCTTATAAACCAAATTAGAACAAAATACCTTAATACATTCTTTTGACACTTTATGGTCCTTTAAAATCACCTCAATATTAAACGGAAAAGTGATTCGTACTAATCGACATTCAAACTTAGTATGAATTAGTGATTTTTTTTGAGCGAATCAATCCGTAATATTCAATGAAATTTGTATTGATGTTAAATTTACAAACACATTCGTGCATGGTCAAAAATGCTCCATAATCATTAATAATATCATTGACCGTATGGATACCTTTTCTGGCCCATTTCTTGTTACAAACGGGGCGATCAGCAACACAAAAACGACCATTACGCCATATTGTTTGTTTAAGCATATCACTATCGTCCAATAGCGAGTTTAAATGAACAAAATTTGATCATGCTAGTACTACATCATACCAGAACCGGCTATTAATGCGTTCCAAGCAATATAGCGGAGCCACCATCAATGTCATTGGAATCATTAATGCAAACTAGATTTCTAAAGATATTGCACCATTTAGCGTTAGTCGTCAATGCAAATCTTCTAATCCATGTTATTTGTAGGGCTTCTACCTGACTCCTTATATCAATCATACGAAGCCCTCCATTTGAATAGTCTTGAACTATAACAATACCATACCATATGAAATTGAAGATCACTCCGTTGATTTCTTTTACGAATGTTTCATAAGGATTAGGCAATGTAAGAATAAGGTATGTCAACTTTGAGATCAAGAGAGATTTGACTACAGTTATTCTACCTAAGACTGATAGATTTCTTCGGGACCAAATATTGAAAAGATTTTTAATTGTCTAAAATGTTGTAGTTAAGATCAATCATGAGTTCTAGCGGCTGGGTGAATTCAACCCCAAGGATATTAACCGCTTCAAAAGGTTTAACCCAATGAACTTTGATATTGCCACAAATAGTACTTCTATCCACATAACGTTTTTTTGTTGATGTTCACTTTTAACCCAGATATCGAGACGAATTTATCTAATTCGTAAAAAGTTTCATACATAGATTGTTCTGATCCGTTGGTGAAAATCACGGTATCATCTGCATACAGAGATAATTTAAACTGATGATTTTCATTGTTAATCCCTTTTATTCGTTTATTTTGCCTTACCATCATTCCCATTACTTTAACACACAAAAGGAAAATATAAAGGCTCAGCCCGTCCCCCTGCCTGCATCCCCGAGTAACGTGGAAAGATTCAGATATAAACCCGTTCACCAAGACTGAAGATATTGCATCGTTATATAAGACCATTATCCAGTTTATAATCGATGGACCAAATTTAAATTCTTTAAAAACTTTATATATAAAAGAATGGGAAACGTATGTATACTTGTTATTAACCTCACTTACGACCACCTTGCTAATTTCTTTCACCTATAGATTTAAACAGATTTTAATGAATGTTTTGGTATTATGATTTTTAATTATGATGATATGATGAAGTTGGTCATGTCTATCTCGTAATTTATTTGTGTTTCTGTGTACTAATTAACTCTGTTGTTCTACATTACAATAGTAAAACAAAAACACCGCAGAATATGGTACTGTACTACATTTATACAAAGGAAAACAAAATGGCATTGAAAAACAATATATTATTATGTATATACTGTTTGATAATAACAGGAAAATAGTTTTTTTTTTTACATATGCATATACAGTTGTAAATTTAAACGACAATTCTTTAATAATATAATGAAGAAATAATTTCAACGAGGGGTTAGTTTATAACTTTTGAACTAGTTATTATTGCCCCACACATTCACTGGTTTCGGCGATCCTGCTAGATTTCCTGTTAAGCTCGATGCAGTCAACAATTTATCAACTGTTCCTGTGTATAATGAGAATCAATAGACAATAATTGTGATTTTTTTTTAAATGAAAATTGCATTTATCGAAAGATGATATCAGCTACCCCTTTACATACTTAGCTACACGATAACTTGAGTAGCCTTTAAAACACAGGTGGGGAAAGTGCGGCCCGCGGGCCGCATGCGGCCCAACAGCGATTTGTTGGCGGCCCGCGACAATGAATTAACAACCCTATATGTGCGGCCCACCAAGCAACATTGGCTAGAGAACACCTTGTTTTTTTACGGCCCGACACCCATCATATCTACAAAGTAACATTAAAACTGAGAATAAAGTGGTGTAAAAGCAGTGCTTCGAGGTTTTTGGAAGCTCACTGGAAACATCAAAATTTGAGTGCGGCCAGCGGTGTTAAATCAAAAATTCACTTTAGCCCTTCGACCGATATTTATGCCAACTCCTGCTTTAAAAGGACCAATGAAACGTAAGTTCAGATTAGCAGGCTCAATGTTGACAAAGATAGACATAGGCCTAATTATTATGTAAAAGACTAAACATTGGTCTAATACATTATGGCATATATGCAATTGATTATGAATATAAACAAACAGTTTTACATGCGATGGTTAAAAGAGATTATATAAATCATTTTGATTTACATTCATGATGGACAATGGAAACCATTGCCATATGTTTGCCTTTCGAAAGTTTTAACGACGGAAAAAGATTGTAAAATTACATTTTATAGTATTCAAACACATTCAAACCAGAATGCTCTACCAACTACTGAACCCTGGTTAAATGTTAATATTATTGTAATGAACAATAAATACTCATACTGTTATTGCATTAAATTAAACATTAATGTGCGAATAAAGCATTCATTTCAACATTATTCAGTTTAGCTTTAAGTTGGAAACATTGTTTGATCTTCATATATTGAGATCTGGTGACTTACCGTATCGAGTGAATTCGTCTTTAGGGGTATGACCTCAATCATGGTTCTCTTTATTTTTTTCTTATTCCTTTAATTGAAATAAATATTTGTTTGTATTGAAACTGAACTTAGCATACTAATAATAATGAAGACGATAATAATAATTATTATAATATTATGACAATGATGAAAATACCTAATAAATAATAACAATAATATGTATTATTATCATAATGGTTCTTTATGATTTGTTAGGGGTATGACCTCAATCATGGTTCTCTTTATTTTTTTCTTATTCCTTTAATTGAAATAAATATGTGTTTGTATTGAAACTGAACTTAGCATACTAATAATAATGAAGACGATAATAATAATTATTATAATATTATGACAATGATGAAAATACCTAATAAATAATAACAATAATATGTATTATTATCATAATGGTTCTTTATGATTAAATTTTGGGCATTTCAAAAACCAAAAAATCACATTGGCAAACTTGCACGAACTACATATTTCTGGGGAGTTTGAATATTAACGCGTTAGTCCCACACAGACCAAGACCCTATCACAGTAAATTACTGTATTACCCGCTTATAAACCCGTGTCGGAAAAGCAAAATACCACCACCATGACACGATAAAAAAAACCCAGCCATTAGGCCAATATTTGGCATTAAAGATGCTGTAATAATGAATATTTGAAGCGGTGATCAAACTGGCCTTGTACCCTGAATTTGATCCAACATTTTCCCTCCGTCAACCCCATTAAAGTAGAATTTTGTTTTGTCTATAATTAAATCAATTCAAGCAATAAATGTATACGCACATTTTGTAAATGAAAACTCCAAAGACTAACATTCCCATTCCTGCCAAACACGCTCCAACCACAATAAAGACGGTGTATGACTTCGAATTATAGCCATCGTCCTCATTTTTGTCATCTGTGTTGTAAACAGAGACGTCCACGATGTCCATCCGGATTTCAGCTTCAATATTTTCTTTCCCTTCTTCAATCGAAGATTTCACAACATCAGCAGAAATATATTCTGTTATGTTAAAAGATCATTTTATTTGTTAAAATAACGATAACGATTAAAAATAATTTATGTAATTAATAAACAACTTGAACGCTGTGCGGTTGTGCCTGATTAATTATGACCCTTTAACATTTTTAAACTAAAAATTATGACGCGGTACATATTTTAAGAGCAATCGTCTGTCTATGAACTACTAATGCGCCTGGTACGTCGAATACATTTCAACTAATTTAACGTGTATCTAGTAAGTGTTGTTCGGCCTGAATCAGTAAACTCGGCAAAGTCAGATTTAAAGTTTGGAATAATGGATTTTTAAAATTATTCCCAAATACATGAATTCCTAATTTAATAGAATTCCCTTACCATTTGTATTTCGTCGAACAATTTGTCTAAATAAATTGTTATATTGGTTAATTGCATCTCTCCTGGCCCTGTCTTCATCATTCTGGGAGCATGTCTCAATATAATTGTTGTATTTAATTGAAAGTATTATAACAATCTGATTCTCAGATATTCTCTCATTCAGGTTGACGTTTTCAGTAGTTGTAACATCTCCATCTAAAGTATCTTGTCTAAAAATTTAATTTAAATACAGAATACCATAGAATACAATTTATATATTGTTAAATGTAGAATTATAGGCCTATCGATTATATATTTATACAAAGCTGCAAGTAGTGTTGGTTCTTATAGTTAGGCTTAGAGTAATGTGGAGTGAAATGAATAGATACACGTAAAAACAAAGTAATTTGAAACGTATAATTATTAAGTATATAACAATTTCACTCACTCATTGAAATCTGTCAAAGAACAACACTTGCGAGCATTCGAGTGACAAAATGAGTTCACTGCCTTAGAAATACTTGCACGAAATGTTTGTTTTGCGCTAATCCACTGAAAATACGTAATACTATAAATTTAAAAGTTGATATACACAGCAAATTCATACATTTTTAAAACCACATGCATAAGTAACCGACCATTGGTATTACATCACAAAATATTTACACTGTTAATTTTATACAGACCTGTGATGCACTGCTTATTTTATACAGACCTGTTCTTCTTGACCTTGCAGTGTCAATGATATAGCCTCTTGGTAATTCACAGCTTGTGCTTTAAGATCAAAAGGTGATTACTTAATAAAAAAAAAATATATATATACACTATTCGTCACTCTAAATAGCTCAGTCGTATTACTTAAGTCACCTAAACCAGTGTCTGATTGCGGTGCCGTTACGAATCTCCCTCCCTTCTTCAGGTACCTTCAATATTATGTGTGATTAGAGTAAACCTGTGCTGAAGATACGCCACTAGTTCCATAATAGCTGTAGTCTTGTGGTCCCAGCTCTTGTCGCTATTTTGGAGTGACTGAAGGTTTGATACTTGTCACAGAATTGACTCGTAAATTGGTAAATGTTTTGCCAGTTGAGGCTGTTGATCGATAAGTAGCAACAATGTCATAATGCGAATTTGTTTGACCATTTTCGGGACTAAACGGAGCTTTATCGAAACTAGACATAGTATCTCATATTGCATGGCTGTAGTCCCCACCTTAATTTTGAGTTAACACAACATCAGTATAATAATAGCTAGTTTTTCGCTTTTTAATGTATAGTTATTAATTGGCTTATGTGTGGTATTGTTATGCTAATGAGCCATAAGCACAATCTGCACATGCTCAGAAAAATAAAACTTTCCTTTGCGACACTGCGGCCCGCACTGCGAAAGAAAAAACGACGTATTAAAATAAAAAATTGGCGTTTGTGAGCAGTACATTTTAATTTTATATAAGTAAGTAGTAATAATACGAATAATTTTAATGCAGTACCGGTAGTTAGATGAACTTCATTCTAAATTGTTTTGGTCTTTTTTTCTGCATTTTTATAAGCGGTTAGACATAGCCTAGGCTAGCCTATGTGATGTTCATTGTAACAAAATCACATCAATTTAAAATCAAATTGGTGAACATACTTGCCTTATATCTTAACTAGCAGGTGATTTTTTTGGTAGATTAGTTTGATTTTAAGTGTGTAAGTATGATTGATTTGCATGCCAAGTGAAATTATTATTTTGCTTTGTTTTACCGTACCATAATTCTCGGCCAGACCTAGCTGTACGCCAAGGCGATACGCAGTACGGGTGTTGTTGTAAAATGCATTTCAAACCAGGCTGGTTTTTTATTTACGTTTTGGAATAGGATTTCGAGAGGGCGTTTGATCAAGTCAGACCTACGTTTTGAATTTCAATTACATTTTAAAGAAATTAGAACTACATTTTGGAAAATTTGAACTACGTTTTGAAAAATTAGAGCTTCATTTTGGGAAACTAAATCTATATTTTAAGAAATTTACGCCTACGTTTTGATAAATTTAGACATTGAATTTTGCAATTTCATTTTGATTTTAACTTTTGCTGCGTATGGCACCCCATAAACCAGCCAGCTTCCTATCCTGGTCATAGTTAAAATCCTTGGAAAAATCACGGTAGAACCAACGTGGGTACCGGTAAAGTCGTGGGCATCAAAAACAAACGATGGTTCATTCCAATTACACGGTAATTAACTACCGATACATGGTTGTGTACTTCGACAAGAAACATTACTTACGATACGCTTTTATTCCTAGAGTTTCCTATCGATATTGGTATTTAAAGAAAACAAAAGCTTACTATTTGAAATGGTGGAACCAGCCTCTGTCTTCGTCACACTAACTGGCTCAGTCGCATTACTTAGATGCTCTAAACCGGTGTTTGATTGCGGTGCCGTTTGAGACGTATATTCCTTGCTTCTGTTGGAACCTTCTTTATATTGTGTAGGACTAGAGTTGACCTGTGCTGAAGATATGCCGCTAGTTTTATGATGTCTGATAGCTGTAGTCTCGCGATCATCAGGTATTGTCGTTTTCATTGGAGTCACTGAAGGTTGGACTCGTAATTCGGTAAATGTCTTGCCGGTTATGACTGTTGATTGATAAGTAGCACTAACGTCATAAAACAAATTTGTTTGACCATTGTCGGGACTAGACGGAGCTTTATCAAAACTAGAAGTAGCAATTTGACTAGGCCTATATGACATACCTGTAGTTACCTCTCCATCTGTTTTAGTTAACATAACTTCAGTATACGAATAACTAGTTTCTTTTTGATGTTTAGTTGAAGTTTCAATTTCAACTGTTGGTTTTGCATTAACGATTGAAGTTTGATTTGTTGAATCAGCATAATCTGTGGCACTACTCGATGATTTAAGAGGCGATGTTTTAAAATTATCTGTACCAGTATTTGATGTTGATGGCGTCGGAGATATGTTAAATACGTTTGAGTTTCCATAGTTTGCCGATGTGGATCTAGATGGAGACGTATTAGTAACATCAAATATATCAGTTGTAGAATCATCTAGATCTTGAGGAAATGACATTGTTTGTGGAACAGTAACAGGGTTAACAGTAGAATCTGTTAAATGAACATATGTGGTTGATGTTTCTGCAATAGAAAAAAAAAAATAGATGGAAATCTACAATTTACAACTGATAAAAATAACAACTTACAGTGATCATTATGTAAAACAAGATAAATAATTATAGTATTCATAATGGGATGTAAAACAATAATTATAGTATTCATAATGCTAACTACATATGGAAATTCACGATATCAACCTAAAAGGTAAGGATAGTAATAACAGGCCTAAAAATAAATAGAAACCCTGCAGTCAGATAATTATTGGTGAATTTGAGCTTAATTCGATCATTTTGAAAAGTTAATCTTTGAACTTTGACATTTGGTGTCCCAATCACTACCTATCAGCACACACACGGTGAGCATGCTCTTTTAGTTTCCGCCTCCTTCAGGCTATGTACGAGTTCGGGCTGCATTATTTTTCTCGCAATACAGTTTAGGCAAAAATTATAGAATGCGCTATTTTAGGTCAGTTAATTTTTATTTAAAAATTAAATTGAATTCCCTGACATTTAACAGTAAGTACACTTGCCACTTACAGGATGATACAAAAGCCTATTCGTACCACTTAAGTATATAAAATCATCAAAATGTAATCCGAAATTTCGGACTTGTAATCCGAAATAACGGATTAGTAATCCGTTAATTCGAATTAGTAACTCGTTATTTCGGATTACTAATCCGAAATTTCGAATTAGCAATTCGTTATTTCGAATTAGTAATCCGTTATTTCGGATTACTAATCCGAAATAACGAATTACTAATTCGAAATTTCGGATTATTAATTCGTTATTTCGGAGTTACTAATCCAAAATTTCGCATTAGTAATTCGTTATTTCGAGTTAGTAATCCGAAATAACGAATTACTAATTAGAATTTTCGGATTAGTAATCCGAAATAACGAATTACTAATTCGAAATAACGAATTACTTAATTCGAAATAACGAATTACTAACTCGAAATAACGAATTAGTAATACAAACTAACGAATTACTAACTCGAAATAACGAATTACTCTGAGTGAATTTTCAAGAGCCAGTACACATGTGACAAAGATGTGTTTGATCTTTGTTCGATATTAATGAGAGAAAGACAACTGTCTCAACCAAATAATCCTGAAGAGAGTCTGTATTTGTATAATGTTTTACGAATTGCAACAACTGAATTACTTTGAGAATGAAGCTGGTTTTTTTTTCTCAATAAACAGTGTGTACAGTACAACAAAAATTACTGCAACAAAAAAGATTTAAGTTTATACATAAAAAAATTTAAGAAAAACATAGGCCTATAATTATTTTTAGCTGTCTCGATTTTAATGAAAATATTTTTTATTAATAATGCAAAAACAGACATTATACAGTACTTTATAATTTATGATAAACTACGGTATACTTTTTTCCAGTATAGCTTAGCAAGACATAATCACCATACTAATAGCTATTTATTGAGATCCTGTGTAAATACTGCTTTTCTTTCTTTTCTCACTGTAGTAAATAATGAATAGATTATTAAATACATGCCAATATTAAATGGACAATTATGTTAGTTCTTTTTTATTTGTAACAACGCTATTATGACAGCATGATTTATGTGTTCCTTTCAAAATTACTGAAACCGAGTGAAACGTGTGAAAACTAGGGCAAGACGTTACCGCGTCGAAACTCTCTCTCTAGGCCTAGGCCTACGTCCTCGCTCCTGAGTAATTCGTTATTTCGAGTTAGTAATTCGTTATTTCGGATTACTAATCCGAAATTTCGAATTAGTAATTCGTTATTTCGGATTACTAATCCGAAATTTCGAATTAGTAATTTGTTATTTCGAGTTAGTAATTCGAAATAACGAATTACTAACTCGAAATAGCGAATGTTTACTGGGATTACACATGTCATGATTTGCAGTCTTTTGAAAGGTGAAGTATGAACTATGCAAGTGGACAAATATTGTGAAACAGTGGTGAAGCTTGAACTATGCAAATGGCCAGTATGATGAAACAGTCACTGGTGAAGCTTCAGACCTGCCAAAAACTGACAAGTGAAGCTTCACCCTATAAAAAAAAGTCAAAGGGTGAAACCTGAACTTTCAGATAGAGTGATACTTCGCCTATATTTTTGGTCAAGCAAGTGAAGTGATGGTGAAATCCTGACATTATGAATAATTTGTTCAGGTGAAGAAAGGTGATGACTTGAGGAGGGTGGGGCCAGGCTTCAAAGTGACGCCTGCAAGTTCACTACAATCCACGGATGGATATGGTCCTTAGGCACATATTCGCACAAGTATACATCGGGTGTCAACATTAGCCTTGTCCGATCTCCTAAAAACGTTAAGGGTCTTCATTGGTGCTTATAAGGTTCTGATTACTAACAATCACAAACCACGACTAGCAGGGTTTTTTAGTGCTAAATTACGCGGCCGACAGTTAACTTTGTTACCCTGTGAGCAAGGGCGTCGGAAGCGGTCCGGCTGGTCCGGTTTTGGCCGGACAAATAATTTACAACTCAATATCGTTTGTAGGCCAAATTCTACTTTCTCTGACGCAATGAAACATAGCCTGCACTTTAAAATTTGGAGGGGGCCGGCTGGGACCTCCCTCTAACCTGCCACTTCCCAGTGGGGAAACTAGGTTTTGATGGGCCGTTTTTCGAGAGTGCAGTCATCATGTTAAGAATGCTATATCTAGAAAAATAATAACCAAATCACAATTAGTTTTTTAAAATAATATGAAACAGAGTATTGCAAAAATTATATAAAAATAAATTGTTCAAAATTTCTTATCAATTCTATAATTATATGAAATGAGATGCTTCTTGCTCAATGAATACATAAAGTGAAAGAAACACGAACACATTATATAATGCAATATGAATAACAATGACTATGGTCTATTATATTTATACAAGTTGACTGATGTTGTGACATACCTAAAAAAAAGTCTAGATTCAAGAACACTTTATTGTACATTGTAAAATAGGAATTTGTTTTACTTTGCAACAGTCTTGGTTAAGAAGGATAAAATTACATTAACAATCACACGACAAAACAACTTGGCAATGAAGAGAAATACGTTAAGATATTAACAATTTAAAATAGTAAAGTAGTAAAAAGTCAAAATAAAAATCACTGTTTAAAACTGTTACTATGTGTATCTCAGAAACAGACCAGCCATTTTAGTAAAGATTAAAACTATAAAAACCCAACATTTTGCTATAAAATAATGGCAGCAAGCTAATTAAATAAAATATGCGTTACCGTATGTAGGCCCTATACATAGGATACAGTATGCATATTATTCCATGAATAAATGAAAATGCAAGAAACACGAACGAAATTATATTACCGTATATAATGCAATATGAATAACAATAAATGTGCGCCTATTTTATTCAAGTTGACGATATTGTGAAATACATAGACTATAAAATATGTAGCCTAAATAATTAACATGTGTTCTGAATACACAGGGACACAGGCTACAATATGCTATGCATTAGTTAGTAAACCTATTAAATGTCTTTTGAATTAATGTGGGGAGCTGAGTTTTGTGATTACCGTACCTATATCATAATAATAAACTATTTTTGTTTGTTTTCACTTTGCGTTGATGCGGCGGGCGTAGATATATTTCACTGCGCGTATCATGTTAGAAGGCCTACGTAGCCAGCCAAACACGTTTTCAGTCCTTTACTTGCGCAGGTCTGAGCAGTGACAAGACGTGTGTTGCTGTCGTCGTAAACCAAATACTGCTTTTATGACATTCAATTGTTCTAGTACGTTGAATTTATAAACAGTTTAAATTAGTTAAATTTATGAATAGTTATCTGAAGATAAATCGCTATCTTTTACTCATGAGTTGTGGTTTTATTGTAAATTATCTTTGGTAATAACTAGGCCTAGGCGGACAGCCGATTAATATGTGCATGCTCAAACCAGTTGTACCGTAATGCTGTGCTACAGCTATTCATTGATCATTGTAATGAGATGACATGTTAAATTTTGGACTAAGAATCATAACCACATCATTAATAATGTGTGTCCCATTTATCTCTATATAATAATGTTGAAAGAGTTGGATTAATTCACAGTTAAACGGTATTAATATTGTTTAATCAGTGTAGTTGATCACGTTGAACAGCGTGAGCTCGTTTTTTGCGGTTAGTTAGGTAACTTTATATCACGTTGGTGGCGCTCTTATGTAAACAAAGATGATTGCACCCATGAGACGAACGATAGGGTTGCGTTTGTTAATGATTAAATTAGAATGGATGTTGGTTAACTTGTTTAATTGCGATCGTTAATAACTACTGGACTATATAATATCTATGTATAGAAAATTGTATTTCATTTAACATTCATAAAATAAGCATAATTTGCTACATCATCAGGTGTATCCATGTTCATCATCTTTGAAGTACGGTAGTTAATACTGGTAGTATAGTAGAACAAGGCAGAGGTCCGGGCAAGTTAAGCAAGTACTTCCTGACAGAGAACACTGCAGGTAGATAATAATTATAATATACTGTTCTGTATTGTGATATATGCTTGCTTGGTCATGTTTATGATGAGCCTACCTAACATCGTGAGATGTTTTGTGATTAGTTAATAATGATTCTATTACCTGGGGATAATCCTATGATACTGTACTGTGTACAAGAGTAGCATTTAAACCTTTGGAGTTTTGGGGTGTCTGTAGAGATATGGGCTGCTTGGGAATTTGTACTGTGTGGAGTTAGGGTTATAGGAGGTATGTGGTTTTTAATTATTTAATTCTTAACACATTTGTTCATTTGCCAATGATGGATGGCTTAATTTATACTGTATGTTCATGATGTTTTACCCACAGTAGATGCTTACCTGTAATGTGGAGGTACAGCTGTAATAAGTCAGTCGTTTAATAATTATAGATATTGTAGTCTGGACAGGCCCGTAGGAAGCAAGTTGGAAGTGGGGGGGGGGGAATAAGCAGTCGGTAGCCACGGATATTTGACGAATTTTAGTGAATTTTTTTTATTAAGTTATTTGATAGGCAT